GGCTGCTGGCCTTGTCTATTGCACCCACATATGGATTTTTCTGGTTCAAGGGCAAAAGAAGGTCAAGGAAGGGGAAAGAGAAAGTGTCGGGGGAGGGAATCCGTAACCTGCGGAAGAGAGCCTACCCTAGGGGCAGAGGCCTGCCCGGTCTAGCCTGAGCCCAGAGGAGACCTAAGAGGTATTTTATGGGTCAAAAGTCTGTGCCTGGGTATGTAGATAGCTGGGGATGGGGTGGCCGAGAGGCCCCACCCAGCCAGATGGCGGCGGAAGGACCAGGTGGAGCTCTTCGCCCAGTCCAGCTGCCTCTGGAGCGACACACTGGGCAACAGCCCCACCTGGCGGACGGATGAGACACCAAGGGCCAGGGAGTGCGGAGGAGAGGAGGATGACAGGGAAGGGATGATGCGGGAGGTTTGGAGGTGGAAGGACTTTTAGGGTCTCCTCTGCGGCGGCAGCCCCTCCAAAGCATGTGCTCTAGACTCTCTTACAGGAGGGACTGACTTCTTCGGGAGGGAATTAGGCAATTACCAGTTAGAAAGTTCTTCTGCGTTTTAGAAATCTGCCTCCTCTGGTCCCCCTACCTGGGGGCTTCCACAGGCAACATTTCCAATGTTTGGACACAGCTATACGATCCCTCCTAAGCATTCTCCCCATTGGGCTCGGCCTTCAGAGTGTGACTTCAACCTTCACCCACTGTGTCTTTTTTTTTTTTCCGCTCAGTTGTTCTTCTTTAATATACTAACTCCCAAGGAATTTCTTCCAATTCTGTACCCAAGCCATCCTCTCCCCACACTGTCAGCATCATTTTCAAACACATCTTTGGGTTTCAGCCTCCCTGCTGTTCAGGGAGTGATATGTTGGGGAAGCGGATGCTCGGTGTGGGGGCTAAATGAGACATCGAGAGCCCAGGCTTTGAAATCAGAGACCACTGCTCACATCTGACCTCTGCCCCTACTGGCTGGGGGACCCTCGGGCCAGCTTCCTAGCCTTTCTGAGCCTGTTTTCCCATCTGTAAATTGGGAGTAGGGGTATTTACAACCTGAAGATGTGGGGAATGAGATTAGGCAGGCAAAAGATTTCGGACAGCTTCTGGCGCCATCACCGGCTCCTCAGTGGCCTGGTAACCACAGTCCTGAGGAATGCAGGGCTGCAGGGAGTGCTCGGGGAAGAGGAAGGTGAAAGGGCAGAGGGAGAAGAGGAGACTTTCTGGAGTCAGGCAGCCTTTCCCCAGCAGCATGAATCCCAGGCGAAAGCCCCAGAAAGGTTACCTCGTTCTGATACCATTTCCAGCCTGTCTCTGGCCACACCCTCCTGCGGAAATGGGGCAGGCCTCGACAGCTCTTTAAAACTCAGAGGGTTTAAAAGTTAAATATCTTTGAGGGCAAGAGAAACACACCAAAATAAACACATCTACCCGCTGGGCACTGAAAGGGAAACTTGGCAGGGGCCCCAGAACTTTCCCCACCCCAGCCCTCTCTAAACTTCCTCTTGTGGTTTCTGAAGAGTACAACCTGTTCTCTCTCCCCACTCGGAAGTGTGCCTGGCGCAGGGGGCTGGGGCACCCGAAGGTTCCCCTGCAGCCGCCTCTGAGGAGGAGGAAGGGGGGTATGAGCGGCAGAAGAGCAGCCTGGATGCCGGGACAGTTCTGAACGCCCACATTATCCTTACCTGTTACCATCCCCCAACACACACCGCTCTCTCAAAGATACATGGGGGGGATAGCGGGGATGGGGTGGGGGGGGGAGGGGTGGGGGGGTGGACTGACTACAGGCAGAGAACACAGTCTCCGGGCGTCCCCAGATCTGTGCAGAGGGCTCTTGTGAGCAACCTAGTTTCAGAAAGGTAATGGGAAAATGGCTGGAATCCATGGAACCGCTGTCCTGTGGCCTGGATTTTATAAGGGCCACTGTCCCAGCCCGCCTAGAAGTGTGGGGTCAGATCCACCAAGGCAGCTTTGGGATGCAGCAGCTGTGGGGAGGAGGTGAGCATCCTAAATACTGCTTCCATGCCCTGACCAGTTTGGCTCAGTGGATAGTGCAGGGGTGGGCAAACTTTTTGACTCGCGGGCCACAATGGGTTCTTAAACTGGACCGGAGGGCCGGAACAAAAGCATGGATGGAGTGTTTGTGTGAACTAATATAAATTCAAAGTAAACATCATTACATAAAAGGGTACGGTCTTTTATTTCAATAGTTTTATTCATTTCAAACGGGCCGAATCCGGCCCGCGGGCCGTAGTTTGCCCACGGCTGGGCTAGAGCATCGGCCTGCGGTCTGAAGGGTCCCAGGTTCAATTCCAGTCAGGGGCATGTACCTTGGTTGCGGGCATATCCCCAGTATGGGGTGTGCAGGAGGCAGCTGATGGATGTTTCTCTCTCATGGATGGTTCTAACTCTCTATCCCTCTCCCTTCCTCTCTGTAAAAAATCAATAAAATATATTAAAAAAAAAAAAAAAAAGACTGCTTCCACTCCTTGACCGGCTTCCTTAGTCAGCTACCAATAAGGGTGTTCCTTCTGGAATCTAGAATGTGAGGGTCTCTGCTATTCTTTCTTTTTTAAAAAAATATATTTTTTATTGATTTCAGAGAGGAAGGGAGAGGGAGAGAGAGCTAGAAACATCCATGATGAGAGAGAATCATTGATCGGCTGCCTCCTGCACGCCCCCTACTGGGGATCAAGGCTGCAACCTGGGCATGTGCCCTTGACTGGAATCGAACCCGGAATCGAACTCTTCAGTCTGCAGGCCAACGCTCTATCCACTGAGCCAAACCAGCTGGGCTCTCTGCTATTCTTAAAGATTCCCAACAAAAGAGGTGTCTTGGTTTCCCACCTCCCAGATTCTGGCACATGATATCCATATTGAGTTATTTCTTACATCAAACCCTGGTCTTTTCCTCTTGGTGACTAAGGCTGAGGGAACACACACACACACACACACACACACACACACACACACGGCCATTAGGACAGGATGCAGGATGCCAGCTCTGTGCAGTCACCCCAACCCTACCAACCCTACTCTAGACCTGCTGGGGCTCTCTGTAAAGGTATCAGCACACATGCTCAGCTAACAGATTAATCTCCTCTGTATCACCCACGGTTCAGGGCCATGGAGTCCCTTCTGGACACTCCTAGACCCCTGGCTCCAGTGCACACTCTGTGGTCAGTCAAGGAGGCAGGTTTGCCTACTGGTTAAGAACAGGGCCTTCCCAGTCAAAGGTCCTAGGTTTAAATCCCAGCCCTGCCATTTCCTTCTGGGGTCCTCTTTAGGAATATTACTTCTTTCCTCTTTGCCTGAGTCTCCTCCAAGTACTTAACCTCATAGGACTGTTTGGAGAATTATATAAGACGTTCCACCTAAGACATTTAGAAGAGTACCTGACAGAGCTATGTAAGTGTGAGCTAGTATTCTGAACCCTTGGGGGAAGGAAAACAGGAGAGAGAAGGTGTTTGGGACCATGGAGGTCATGGTCTCAAGGACTGGGCTTAACCTGGGATCCAGCTGGAAGTCTCAGAGATGCTTTTGATTCTGAAGGCCAGGAGGGTGGATGCTCTGACTTGTTTATCACTAAGTCCTCAACATCCAGCCTAACAGACAGAGTAGGGCCACAGCAGACAAGTGTTGAATGGATTCGGAAATTGTCAGTCATCTCCCAAAGGAGCCTGGGAATTGAAAGAGCAGAAATGCGAAGGAGAGCCGGTTCTCTTCACTCAAAGAGAATTGGGGTGAGGGGCATAAAGCAAGGATTTGTTAAAGGAAACAGTCCTAGAGTCCAGGGCTGAGGAATGGATGCCCCAAGATTGTGTGGATTGTCACGTAACCCCCAGATGAACCCTCCCAGCTGTGCGAAGCTAAGAAGCTCTGGGTTTGGGGGGACCAGCCCTCTCCCTGAATTCATCCTGTTTATAACCACCTCTTTTTCACACCTAGATAGGGGGTTAAATCTGGGTCCCCATTATCCCAATGCTCAACACCACAATCAGAGTTCAGTACAACTCTGTGGAATGAATAAGTGCCGAAAAGACTGTCCATTTCTCCTCTCAGAACCCAACTCTGATGTCCTCTTCTCTCTGAAGCCTTCCCAGCCACCCAGCTTGATGCCTTCTCGCTGTTGTTCATGACCCACACTAACTGTAGGTGAGTAACACCACTGCACTCTCAGAATCCAATACAATCCCAGACACATAGTAGGTGATCAATCAATGTTTGGAAACGAATACATTCATGTTCCCTTAGTAACAGCAACCGCTCTCTTCAGTTATTCCTCCTGACACAGAAGAGGCTGAGGCCGTGGTTTGTGTACCCATCAGACGCTAGAGGATGAGCACTGAGGGTTCTTCCTCCCAGTCCTGTCCTCTGGCTTCCTCCCTCAGCCCTGGCTGGCAGGAGGACCCCGAGGCCGCCTGCCCACACTGGTTCTGCCCTCCTACTCGCCTCCCACCTCTATCTCTGATTATGAAGAACAACAGCCCACTGGGCTTCCAGATCAGCGTGGAAGGGGGCTGTGTGGACAGACAGGGCACTGGAGGGGGGGCGGGGCTTCTCTGCCTTCCACTAAGAAAGTGAGCCGAACTCTGGGGGACAACCAGGAGGTGACAATAGCACGGTGACCTCCTCAACCCACCCACCTCCCACCCCCGGCTCCGGGAGTCCAGCCTGAGCTTGGAGATCCCAGCAACGGGGGGTGCTGAACCCCCATTATCTTGGCTTCTCCAGCCTTCAAGCCTACCTCCTTGGCAGGTGAGCCCCCCGGAGCATCTGTTGTGGACGAAGACACTCTCCCGCAGCCTCCGGCTTCAGTCTCGGGGAGTTGAGGGATGGGGTCGCAGCCTTCAGCCGCGGGGAGGGGCGAGAACCACTCGCTCCGGAGCCCAAATAAAATGAGTCTCCGCCCCCGCAGGCGCGGCGTGTTTACAAAGTCCTAGCAGAGCCGCTGATCGCGAGTTGAAAGCTGGGCAGGAAGTGGGGGAGAGGGGGCGGGGGAGATCAAGGGGGCTGGGTGCTCTGCGCAGCTAAGGTTAGGGCCTGAGACCTCGTCCGTGTGCCCGGGGTGAGGGGGTGGCGGCGACCCCCAGGCTCAGGTGCGTGTGGTCGGGAAGGTGCGTTTCCAGACTTCTGCCTTCAGGGCATTCGCCACTCAATCACGTGCTACCCTGGGAATAAACAACAACGGTAGGCGAGGTTCCTTGACCTCTGACTCTACGTCTAGCACCGCGATAGACCCTGTTTGCATTCCCTTGTTCCCTCCCCTCCCCCCGCTATCAATCACACCCGTTTCACAAAAGAGGAAAAGAGGAAACTGAGGCACAGTGAGGTTCGGGCATGTGCCCGTGGTCCCACAGCTAGCGACATTAGAATTCAAACCCAGCGTCTGCGTCCTGCCAGGCACCTGCAAACGGAGAAGAATAAGGCGCGATGCGGGCCCCGCAAGAACCCCCATCCGGAGGGGCTGGGGAGCAAGCGCACAGAAAACCCACAGGCACCGCCGACCCTGGGAGTGAGGCGGGCAAGGGACAGAGCCCCCTGCTTTCTGCGCCTCCCGGCTGGCCCGGCAACTACCGGCGGATTGAGGACAGCAGAGTGCAATGGAAGACCTGGACTAGGCTGCAAGTGGGCCATTGGCGGGCCGTAGACCCGCAGCACAGCATTAAATTTCCCCAAATTTCCCGCTGCAGAAGAATCACCTGGAGAGGTTAACAACACGTAGTCTCGGGCCCCTCCCGCAGACAGTGAGTCACTGGCACTGGGCGGGACCTAGCCAGGTGTTGCTAACAGCCACGTATGGGGCGTTCCAGGGGTGTGCTCTTTATGAGAAACGATTTCATGGGGAAAGAGGTGTGCAAGCGAGGGCGCATTTTCCGGGCCAATTTCGAGGCTCACAGCAACCCATCGCTCAGTGTAGGTCACGTGAGCCGGGTCATCAGAAACCTTCTCTCCCCGCCCTCCCCCTCCCCCTCCCCAACTTTGGTTGGGCTTTGGAAAACCCAGAGGTGGGAGCACCGCCCCGCCCCTCCCCGCCGGACGACTACAAATCCCATCCTGCCCTGCGCGCGCGCACGTTACGCCAGAGCAAGATGGCCGACACGATGGCCACTGCGGGGGCTGGCAGCTCCGGAACGGTAAGGGCGGGAGGCGCGGGGTTGAAGCTGGGAGAGTCGGGGCATTCTGCAGCTTTCCCCTGTCCGGGGCAACAGGCTCATTCCCAGACATCCAGACCCATCAAGAGCTCCGTATGGAGGAGGGTTTTTCAGGCCATACCTGCCCTCCCTCTTTGGGACTTGGCGGCGGCCTCCGGAGTTGGTGGACCCGTGTGCTGATTGGCTCGTTTCGGGGTTGGGAACCCGGAATACCTCCTAATTGGTCCGAAGAGGCCGTTTCCGCCTTCTTATTGGCTAGCCAAAGTTGGGAGGGATTCCTGTTTCAAAATATTATCTTTCCTACTTTCCGGTGCTGTTATCCTTTGCCCTCCTCTCCTCAGCACCATGTGTTATTATTTTAATTTCCCTTGTTAGTGAAGTGGTGTGCAGATGGGAGGAACAAGAGAGATGGGTTTTTTTTTTTCTGAGCGTTAGAAATAAATTCAGTCTCATCATACGTGTTTCTTCAGCTGTAGAGCCTCATAATCTGCTAAAACAGAAAGTAAGAAACAGCCACTTGTGTTAATAGAAGTTTACGTTTTAGGGAAGCAGAAAGGCTGTCTCCGTATTTAGAGCCCCTTGGCTGCTCAGTTATTACTTACTTGGCTATCACATTTTGTTAAGCACTGGTAAGTAAGTATTTAGCAAATGAATGTGTGCTCGCCATGACGATGTGTGAACTATGCGATTGCATCCTTGTTTCGTGGATGAAAATCTTCTCTCTTTCTGGGCTGCTGATTCACAGAGATCGGGAGGTAAACAGTCCACTAACCCTGCTGACAATTACCATCTGGCCCGGAGGCGAACCCTGCAAGTGGTGGTGAGCTCCTTGCTGACGGAGGCAGGGTTTGAGAGTGCTGAGAAAGCGTCCGTGGAAACATTGACAGAGATGCTACAGAGCTGTAAGTATCAGGAACAACAGGCCTTCTTCAGGTCAACCACACATCAGTGCCGTGTCCTGCACTGTGATCGTGTTAGAGAGAATTTAAGAAAAAGAACATAGTCAAGTGACTTACAGGTTTTAGAATCAGGTAGACCTGGGTGTAAGTCATCACTCTACCACTTAATAGTTGGGGCAAGTTGCTAGGCCTCCTGACTCTTAATTTCCTTATTTGTGAAGTGGAATAATAATTTGCACCTCATGGAATTGTGAGTATAAGTGAGACACATATGTAAATCATTCGATGCTGGGAACATTGTAAGCTCTTGATGACTTGCAGGTGCTACTATTGCTGTTTCTGTTCTGTACTCAACTTATAATTTTATTGGAGAGTTAGGATTAATTTCTACAAAATAGATGCCACCACCTAATATAATAAAATGCTGTATTATATACAAAGATACAAAGGGTAAGGGTGAATACGTTTTATAGAATGGGGAAAAAAAAACACTTTTAAAAGGAAATGCCTTGAGTCCTGGCTGGTTTGGCTCAGTAGATAGAGAGTCAGCCTGCTGATTGAAAGGTCCCGAGTTCAGTTCTGATCAAGGACACATGCCAGAATTGTGGGCTCCATCCCTAGTGGGGGGCATACAAGAGGCAGCAGATCAATGATTTTCTCTCCCTCTCCCTTCCTCTCTGAAATCAATAAAAATATATTTTTTTAAAAAGTAAATGCCTGAAGATTTAGAATGGTCTCATACTGCCTTTTCTGCATATACAATGTATTTCCCTATTTGGGCCTTTTTGGGGACTAGGATGGGATGAGGGATGGGGGTACCAACACCTATGGATGACAGTGAGAGAATGGTTTAGGCAGAGGGAGAAATAGAATAAATTGAACTGCAGTGCAGGCCAAACAAAAATTTGGCCACTGCAGCGGTGAGCTCTAGGATGATAATTGCCCATCAGGTATTCCACATCCGGCGGAAAAGGGCCCTGCCTTTATATTTTGGTCTTGATCAGTCACTAGATGTGGACTGCCCCAGGAAGGGCAAGTTCGAGGTGAGATGGCTCTCTGACATTTGGAACTTTTACATACCAAATGTTTTCCTAAAGCAGTGATCTTGGACTTTTTTTAATCTTACAACCTCTGTGGACTCTTAAATATTGAGGACCCTGTGGAGGTGTGTATAAGTGGGATGGAGATATAAATATAAATATATATGTGTATATATTTTGCCACATTAGAAAGTAAAACAGAAAATTTTAAAACATGAGAGTGAACAAGCATATGATCCATTATCCATCAGAGCCATGATGTCATCCCAGGTCAGATAGCCTCTGGAAAACTGCCTGAGAGAATGAGTAGAAAAATAAAACAATGTCTTAATTCGATTATGAGCCCTAGCTGGTTTGGCTCAATGGATAGAGCATTGCCCTGCAGACTGAAGGGTCCTGGGTTTGATTCCAGTCAAGGGCACATGCCGGGGTTGTGGGCTCAATCCCCAGTAGGGGGCGTGCAGGAGGCAGCCAATCAACGATTCCCTCTCGGCATTGATGTTTCTAGCTCTCTCTCCCTCTCCCTTCCTCTCTGAAATCAATAAAAATATATTTTTTAAAAAATTGAATATGAAAACACTTTGGACCTGTGGACTTTGGAAAGGTTTATAGGGTCGCCTAGGGATTCCCAGACCACGCTTTGAGAACTTTTGTCCGAAAGGAATGGACTAATAGTAGTTCCCATTAGATTCCCCCCCAGTAAACAGATGCTGCCCACCATTTTCCTGTGTAAAGGCTGGTATTAGTGGCTTGCTCAGGGTAGCATGGCAAGTTGGTGATAGGTTTTCAGTTAGACACCATTCCCAACTTGCTTTTATCTTCTGAACCTTTTTGGATCCCTTACATCTGATGAATTCTGTGGACCATTCCCGGAAATGTGTGTGTGTGTGTGTGTGTGTGTGTGTGTGTGTGTGTGTGTGTAAAATTGAGCACAATTTCAGGTTTCATGGAACCTCCCATCCCTTTGAAGCCCGTTCATGGAGTCCGCTTCATACCTTCCCCTTTCTCAGAAGGACTAAAGCATGACTGTTAAACAGAGGTTCAGCTTTAGACAGACAACACAGACAACAAGACCCTTTTTTTGGTTGCACAATATACATAAAAATTTATTATTTTAACCATTTTTAAGTGTACAATTCAGTGACAGTAAATATATTCACAATGTTGTACAACCATCAACACTATTCATTTCCAGAACTTTTTCATTATTCCAAACAGAAACTCTAAACCTATAAGTGATAACTCCTTAATCACCTCTTCCCCCTGCCCCTGGTAACTTCTAAGCTACTTTTTGGCTCTATGGATTTTTTTTTCTGTCATATAAGTAGAATCTTAAAACATTTGCCTTTTTGTGTCTGGTTCAGTTCACTTAGCATAATGTTTTCAAGGTTCATCTTTGTAGCATGGATCAGTACTTCCTTTCTTTTTAAATTTATTTAAGGTTTTGTTGATTTGAAAGAGAGAGAGAGAGAGAGAGAGAGAGAGAGAGAGAGAGAGAAACATCTATCGGCCGCCTCCGTTATGCAACATAGGCATGTGCCCTGACAGGAAATCGAACTGGTGACCTTTTGGTCACAGAACAACACTCTACCAACTGAGCCACACCAGCCAGGGCTACTTCATTCCTTTCTTATGGCTAAATACTAATCTTTGTATGGATCGACCACATTTTGTTCATCCATTCATTTTTTTTTTTTAAATAAGGTTTATTATTATTTTTAACTTTCATCCATTCATCTTTTGATGACACTTGGGTTGTTTCCACCTTAAGGCTATTGTGAATAATGCCACTATGGACATAAGTATCTATTTATGTTCCTGCTTACAATTTGCTTGGGAATATACCCAGGAGTCAAGTTGCTGGCTCATATGTTAATCCTTTGCTTACCTTTTAGGGAACTGAGAATAAGACTTTATGCCTTTGATTCTTTCCCAGACATTTCGGAAATTGGGAGAAGTGCCAAGTCTTACTGTGAGCACACAGCCAGGACCCAGCCCACGCTGTCAGATATTGTGGTCACTCTTGTTGAGATGGGTGAGTGCACGTTTCCAACTCTTCAGTGCAGCTGAGTTGGAGTTATGGGAGAGAGAGTGAGGAGTGAGCTACATCTGCTGAGTGTTTTTAATTCCCTTATGATTCTTCTGGTCGGTTTTTAGCTCGAGGGGGTTACCAACTGAGGGTTCCTCTGAACCCGTTTAAGAGACCTCCTAACTCCCTGGTGGGCATCTGCTGGAGCTTTTCAGTGGCAGCAAAATGCTTGAGTGGGGAGTTTAAGCTATTTCAGCACAATGTTCCTCTCCCAAGTTCAGTATCTGTTGGTCTGGGCAGCAGTGACTTTTGTTTTCCTGTTTCTTAGGGTTCAACGTGGACACTCTCCCTGCTTATGCAAAACGGTCCCAGAGGATGGTCATTACTGCCCGTAAGTGCCTTTGAACTGAGGTCCTCAGTACGTTCTCAGTTGATGCTTGTGGAATGAATTAATTAAATAGGGCAGGGATCCGTTTGTTCAGCTGCTTCTTATTGCAGGCTTCCTTCCATCATTTGGGCTACCTGTAACATCACCTTTGTTTGGGCTAATGGGACTGGGATGTGACGTTCTGTCACCAGAAAGGAAAACCATCTGAGATGTTGCTGTGATTCTTGTGCTTTAGCCCTAGAAGGGCGATTGATGCTGCTTGAGAAATGCTAGTGCTCTAGTTCTTCCTTAGATCAAGAGTCAGTAAACTAAGGTCTGTGGGCCTAATGTGGCCCACCACCTGTTTTTGTAAATAAAGCTTTATTGGAACACAGCCATGTGTGCTTACCTTTGATTGCCTTGTGCTATCATGGCAGAGTTGAGCAGTTGTGGCAGACTGTATGGCTTGGAAAACCTAAAACATTTACTCTGTCTCTTCGTTTCTATCGAAGGCACAGTTAGACGACCTGTGCCTTAGATGGAAGCTGACTTCTATAAACTGAGCTGGGAGTAACCAGTGTGGGCTGGTAGGACCTGGGGAGACTTCACTTGATTTTTTCCCACCACTTTTTTTCTAGCTGACATCTTTTGAAGACCTTCCCTGTCAAGTAGCAGTGAAGGTGCCGTTTTTAGTCCCATGCTGTCCTTGGCGAACTGCATGACTTTGTTATCTGGGCTCTGTGAAAAGAGAGTTAACAGCTCATGTGACTCCTTGGCCACTCAGCAGCCTCAGTGTGCTCTTTTGTGATGTGAACGTTGTCACGGCAACCACTCACCTACCTAAGAAGCTTGCAGACAGACTGTTGTGGATGGGAATGTCACCCAAGGTCATTCAGCAGGGCTGGGCATGTGGGGGTGCCCTGAGGTCCTTAAGTCCGTCAAGGCCTTTTTAAAATAGAAGTACAAAGTATCCGTTGTTCAGAAAATTGAGATACAGCATTTACTTTGAGGAAAGGAGGGTTTGGGTAGAGACCCAAGTCCTTGGGTGGAAGAGTAACCAGTTGTGACTCTGTTGCAGCTCCAGTGACCAATCAGCCAGTGACCCCCAAAGCTCTCACTGCGGGGCAGAACCGACCCCACCCGCCGCACATCCCCAGCCATTTTCCCGAGTTCCCCGACCCCCACACCTACATCAAAACCCCGGTGAGTGTCGAGGAGATGACGGGGGCTATGACTGCTGCAAAATATTCAGTTTCTACTGATTGTTGGGTCAAAAGCTTATTGATGAAAGGTGGACTCAGAACTCAGAATGTCTTTTCTTATTAATAAACAATTTGGCACAGGGGAATTATGTCCTCCAGTTGGCTCACAAAAACATAGTTAACAAGAAATTGAAACCTGTCCCGCCAAAACGCGAAAGGCCCTACCACCTAGAGAGGAGGCGGGACGGGCACTCCAGAAAGTATTCACAGTAACTCTTGTTGCTTCGTGTGTGCTTTTCTGAGTTTTCCAAACTTTTCATAGAAAAGAGTTCTTTTTGAAACCAGGGGGAAACGATTATTTAAACCATACTTGGTGATAACATGAAATGAAAGTCAGCGTAACTTGAGTCCTGGGTCTGCATGAGCACAGATTGAGGTGTCTTCCATGGTTTAGATGTGTTCTCCTTCGCCAGAGGAGCAGTTTCGCCCGCCCGGGAAAGGGTGCGTGTGCAGAGGAGTCCCGGAGGCCCTCCCACACGCTTCCTTTGTCCCCGCCTCCACAGCACGTGCTGGTGCAAATATGGCATCATGCGGGCAAGTGGGCGGGTGGGGCGTGTCCTCCAGACATTCCTCCACACCTCAGGGTACTGGGGGAAGGAATAGGTAGTCAGCCACCCTTGCACTACAGCTGCTGGCCTTGACCTGCGATCTCTGTGTTAGTGTCCCAGAGCTGCCGTAACAAAATGCCATATACTAGGGGGCTTAGAACAACAGAAATGTATTGCCTTACAGCAGTGATGGCGAACCTATGACGTGCGTGTCAGAGGTGACACGCAAACTCATTTTTTTGGTTGATTTTTCTTTGTTAAATGGCATTTAAATATATAAAATAAATATCAAAAATATAAGTCTTTTTTTACTATGGTTGCAAATGTAAAAAATTTCTATATGTGACACGGCACCAGAGTTAAGTTAGGGTTTTTCAAAATGCTGACACGCCGAGCTCAAAAGGTTCGCCATCACTGCCTTACAGTCTAGAGGGCACGTGGCCGGATTCAAGATGTTGCCAGGGCCATGCTCTCTCTGAAACCTGTAGGAGAAGCCTTCTTGCCTTCCCTAGCTTCTGGTGGTTTGTGGGCACTCCTGGCTTGTAGACGCAGGACTGCAGTCCTCTGTTACCTCTGTGTGTCTGCACGTGGCCGTTTTCTTGCAAGGGCACTAGTTGTGTTGGAACAGAGTCCCACTCTTCTCTTGTATGACCTCTTTTTAACTCATCACCTCTGCAATGACCCTCTTTCCAAATGAGGTCATATGCTGAGATACTGGGGGTTAGGACTTCAACATACATATTTTTTTTTAGGGGACACAATTCAGAAGAGGTTGGGCCCAATCTCAGGGTGGTATGGCCATACACTTCAACCCATCAGTCTCTAACTCTTTTATAGTGTATTTCTGACAGTAAAAATATTAAGTACATACTTCAATAAACATTCATGCTGACTTACATGAATATTATAATGTACTAGAGGCCAGTGCATGAAATTCGTGCATGGGAGGGGTGTGTCCCCCTCAGCCCGGCCTGCGCCCTCTCACAATCGGGACCCAGCGGGTAGGGTCCTTAGGCCTGGCCGGTGAGCAGGGCCTATTGGGGCTTTTCTTCCCCTGGCTGCCAGCAGCTGGCCCCACCCCCACTGCTGCCACTGCTTATCATCTGCAGCGCTGCCCCCCCCCCTCCCTCGCCACCCCCCTTCCACCAGGTGCCTCCTTCTGTGGGCGACAGGCATGGGGTGCGAGCACTTGGCTGGCCTGGGCCTCCTTCTGCGGGGCGATCGCTGGCTAGCCCCGCACACCTGCCACAACATCGCTGGCTGGTGGCCTGGGTCTCCCTCTGTGGGGCGATTGATAGTGGGGCTTCATGATCAATGGCTCCGCAGAGGGAGGCCCCGCCCACCTGGCCAGGGCTCCCAGAGCATTCTGCTGTTCTGTCGTTCAGTTGATTTGCATATTATGCTTTTATTATTATAGATGACTCCACCAAAATAATGGGCATTATAGACAATCTGACCCTTATTAAAGGGTCAGGAAACCTTTGTGCTCCTTTTTAATGGCAGCACCTGATGGCCTCTGCCTTTTAGGTTTTGAAGTCTTGGTGGAATACTTGGTGGAATAGTAGGTTAGAGGTCTTATTCTAAGATCAGCTTATTTTAAAACTTCAGCAGCTCTCATAGTTGAAAAAGATACATTACAAAGGTATGTAGCCTTGTCGGCTCCACTTAATCACAAATGAATTTGCATCTTCTAATTATTGGAAGAATTTTGTTTAAAATTTTCTATTCAATTTCCAACTTTTTGAATCTCAAACAGTGCTCTCTCTCTTTTTTATTTAAATATATTTTTATTGATTTCAGAGAGGAAGGGCGAGGGAGAGAGAGAGATAAAAAAAAATAAATGATGAGAGAGAGAGAATCATTGATCGGTTGCCTCCTGCATGGCCTCACTGGGGACCAAGCCCGCAACCCAGGCATGTGACTGGGAATTGAACCATGACCTCCAGGTTCATAGGTTGATGCTCAACCACCGAGCCACGCCAGCCTGGCTCAAATAGTTCTCTTAAAAATGATGGGAAGGTCTTACATTTTTAATGTTTGTAACAAGTATGTTCAAAATCCAGTCAAATTCTTCATTTTGGGATGATTTTAAACATCAGAAAATCTTGTTTCTATGTTTAAGTGTGGATATGGAAACCATGCAGGACATACCCTTGAATTAACATTGACAACAGTGGAAACGTGTTTAAGCACCGCCTTCAAAAATCCCATCTCTGTGCCACAAAGAGTAGTTAATTACTTTTTTGGTCATTGCTACAATGTCACCTATACCATCACAATTTAAAATGTTTTGGCCCTAGCTGGTTTGGCTCAGTGAATAGAGCGTTAGCCTGCTGACTGAAGGATCCCAGGTTCGATTCCGGTCAAGGGCACATGCCCAGGTTGCGGACTCGATCCCCAGTAGGGGCGTGCAGGAGGCAGCCGGTCATTGATTCTCTCTCATCATTGATGTTTCTATCTCTCTGTCCCTCTCTGAAATCAATAAAAATATATTAAAAAAATAAAAATAAGTAAAAGGATATAGAAACAGCTAAGCTGGGCCTCAGGGAGGACAGAATGACCCGTTGGGATTACTCTATAGTGTCTTTGCTGTTCTTTTCAGACGTACCGCGAGCCTGTGTCTGACTACCAGGTCCTGCGGGAGAAGGCTGCATCCCAAAGACGGGACGTGGAGCGGGCACTCACCCGTTTTATGGCCAAGACAGGCGAGACCCAGAGTCTTTTCAAAGATGACGTCAGCACGTTTCCATGTAAGAGTCTAGCCCAGGGGTGGGCAAACTTTTTGACTCGAGGGCCACAATGGGTTCTTAAACTGGACCGGAGGGCCGGAACAAAAGCATGGATGGAGTGTTTGTATGAACTAATATAAATTCAAAGTAAACATCATTACATAAAAGGGTACGGTCTTTTTTTTTTTAGTTTTATTCATTTCAAATGGGCCGGATCCAGCCCACGGGCCGTAGTTTGCCCACGGTTGGTCTAACCCCTCTGTGGACCCTGTCTTGTCATTTGAGATAATAGCATCTTCCCTTACTCCAGCATGGTAGGAAGAAACAAATGATAAGCTTTGTTCTTATCTTGGGTGCCTCTCGTTCTTCAGATTTCTGGCTCTTTTTCCCAGTTCTTAAGGCCTGTCCCTAACAGATGACTCAGAATAGTAATGGCCTCTGTTGGGTTTGGCCGCTTGAGGTCTGTTGAGTTTGAGTTACCTCAAGAGTAACTGAGCCCTGGGCCTCAGAGGCACTCATGGAGCAGAAGTGGCAGCCCTGGTTGTAGAAGGGACAGAGGCATCAGGGGGGCAGAGCAGTTACAGAACACCTGCTGGGCTTTGCCCTTCACCGTGTCCTCACACAGGTACTGTCTCACTTAATTTCCCATCTCAGCGCTACCATTTCGCCATGTGATCAAGTCGCTTCATTTCCATAGGCCTCAGGTTTTCCAAAGATGAACAAGGGTGATTCATTCATTCAGCAAGTGCTCGCTGTGTGCCTGGCCCTGAAAGAATAGCAGCTAAGTTATTAAGTACCAGATGAGGTGCCAATCATTTCCTGTAAATCAGCAGTCGCCAACCTTCCGGACCCCTCGGACCGCTGCCATAAGTCATCTCATTAAATCCTCTCGGGAGCCCAGGAGCTGTTATCACCGTTACAGGGAGCCGAGGCTTAAAGAGGAGAAAGGAAGTAACTTGCCCAGGGTCACACAGCTAGTAACTTTCAAACCTAGGCTCACCCGATAATCACATTCTACCACACATAGAGACCTTCTATTATTTATTTCATCAGCGATTTCTTCTCCTCCTCAGTGCTTTTTGGAAGTGCCCTCTAGCTCAGTGGATACACTGACCTGCAGGGAGTTCTCAAATCCTTCAGACTGATGGGCTCAAAATCTCTGCTCTGGAAATGAGGCGTAGAGGGGTTAACGAGGTGAGATCACTAAGCTGATGCTTTACTAGGATGCAGCCCCAGTTCTGTCTGATTTTAGTCCTGCAGGACTCGGGAAAAGTGGGCTCTAAAGTTACACTGCTCAAGTTCAAATCCCACTCTGCCACTTTCTGTGTGCTGGAGGAAGCCACTTAACCTCTCAGCGTCTCAGGTTCCTTCTCTGTAAAACGGGGTTGGTAATGGCACTTAGCCATTACAGTGGATTCAGATGGTACGTGTGAGGCCTGTAGGACACAGTGAGTGCTTGAGTGAGTCAGCCATTATTGTCATTGGGTGCTGCTCGCTGCTCTGCTGTGAGGCCCTGAGCCAGCTGCAAGGACTCCATGACAGTGGATTTGCTCTCTTCCAATCCCACAGTGATTGCTGCCAGACCTTTCACCATCCCCTACCTGACGGCTCTTCTCCCATCCGAACTGGAGATGCAGCAGATGGAAGAGACGGATTCCTCGGAGCAGGATGAGCAGACAGACACAGAGAACCTCCCTCTTCATATCAGCACGGTGGGTCCTGCCTTCTGCCTGCTCAGAGTAGCCCCCAAACTAGCCCCACTGCCCACAGCCTGTCACCCTGGGACCTGGACGTGACCTACCCCAGGTCTCTCTGCCTTCATGTTAGGGACTTGCAAGATGGGCTCATGATGGTCCGAGTGTGATGGGATCTCTAGCTTGTGAGGCAAGTCCTGTCCTGGGGCTTCATTCATTCATTCATTCATTCATTCAATAAATACTGAATGAGCGCCTGCCAGAGGCTGGCACAGTTCCAGGTGCTGGGGAATTAGTAGGAGACAAAACCGACAAAATTTCCTACCCTCATGGAGCTAAGGTATGAAGTAATAAATTAAGAGATGGGAAGTAGGTATGGGCGCAGGGGAGTGTGGTTTTAGGATGACTGAGAGGGTGGCATATGAGTAAAGACCTGAAGGGAACAAAGCTTACACATCTGGGAGTAGAGCATTCCTCACGGGGAACAGCAGGTGCGAAGGCCCTGAGGTGGGAGCTGTTGTGTTGAAGAACAGCAAGGCCATCAGGGTGGCCGAGTGGCACGAACAGGGAGGAGAGTAGGAAGGGATGCGCTCAGAGAGCTCATGGGGTGGGGTGCGGAGGTCAGATCTTAAGCTATGTTAAACGTGGGCTTCCCCACATTTACAGTGAGATGAGGTTCACCTCATGAAAGAGGGGTCTTCTAGCAAACATCACTTCCCTTTGTAAGTACAAAGTACTTAAAGGGCCTGCGGAAGGTTATCTGACACTCTAGGCCAGTGATGGCGAACCTTTTGAGCTCGGCGCGTCAGCATTTTGAAAAACCCTAACTTAACTCTGGTGCTGTGTCACATAGAGAAATTTTTTGATATTTGCAACCATAGTAAAACAAAGACTTATATTTATTTTATATATTTAAATGCCATTTAACAAAGAAAAGTCAACCAAAAAAATGAGTTTGCGTGTCACCTCTGACACGGGTGTCATAGGTTCGCCATCACTGCTCTAGGTAGTGACATAGGTGAGGTCGCGGCGGTGAGTGAGTTGAGGCTGAAATCATGCCAGGAGCTGCCTGCACTCTCCTGGACACGGAGACGCCAAGCCGTATGGCAGAGTAGACAGACCTGACCCTTGGAGTCAGACTGGTCTGGCTTTATTCCTTTTCTTTTTTTCTTTTTCTTTTTTTCACTGTGCAACCTGCTTCAGTGCCTGCAGCCTACAGGCACAGGCCGGGCAGTGGTTCAAGCGCAGCTTGCTCTGGCCTGGGGCACTCTGAGAGACCCAGGGGACAGGCCTGCCATCAATCCAAACCCACGCACCGGTCTGGCTTTAAATCCAGACCGTGCTGCTCCCCCGGCACATCACCCAACGTCTGAGTCTGCTTCACAAGTACAGACAGGAGCAGGAGCACCTCCCTCTAGGCCAGTGGTTCTCAACCTTGGCTGCACATTACAGTCACCTGGGAATCTTTTTTTAAAATCCTGATTCCTGGGCCCCATCCTCCGGAAATTGTTTCTTTGTTATGGGGTGAGGCCACAACATTAGTAACAAAGAAATAATTTCCAGAGGATGAGGCCCAGGAAGATTCCCAGGTGATTGTAATGTGCAGCCAAGGTTGAGAACCACTGCTCTGGGGGAAGCGGGAGCCCGAGATAAAATGAGCTCACCCACAGGTGCCTGGCCCAGGGCAGCTCCCGCCCCCACTGCCCCTCCCTGCTGTTCTGGGCTGTTCCACCACATGCTGTCCTGTGAAAAAATAAGTGGAAAGACTTTAAGAAAAGGATTCTAGCAACAGAGTTATATCCAATCGGTTGGATTTATTATTCTATTGGACTGGCAAATACTGGTATGATATGGGTTTCAAAATTCAGAATGGACAAAAAGATGTGTGGTGGCAGTTCTTTCTCTCGTCCTGGTGCCCCGTTACCCACCTTCCCGCCTACAGAGCAACCAGTCACCAGCCTCTTTTTTTTTGGCCTCTTTCTTACGAATCTAGAGACACGGACACAAACAGCAGGTCACAGGTGGTTTGCCCCTCGCTGTATGCCCTCATCCATGCAGCTTGGCGATCATTCCATGTCCGTGTAAAGGAGCGCCTTCACCCCCTGCTCAGCCTCCTCATGTTCCAGGGAGGCACAAGTGGGTTTAACCAGGCCCCGCGGACAGTGGTGGTTTTCTGTCGTTAGCATTCACACACGTTGCTACAGTTCATTAGATAACTGGTATTTCAGATCGTTCTTTCATCTGTCAGTGGCAGCATCTCTCTCTCAAGTTCTCTTGCTGCATAGTTTTTACTTAACCAGTCCTGGTTTCTCCATCTACTTGGACATAAAGGAACTGTTCATTTTAAATTAGTGTGTAATAGAATTATTTTTCTCTCCCATTTGAACTAGCAGCTAATCCCAGGGTCGAAACTTTTGCTCTCCCATGAGCACTGTACCCGTCATTTATTTATTTAGTGCCTGCTGGCATGTGCCAGACGCTGTTCTGAGAGCTTGGGACCCTTCAGTGAACAGAACAAAGAGCACACCCGCCTTTTAGGAGCCTGTGAGTTGGCAGTGGGAGGGTGACAGTGGCTGGAATATATAAGTACATCGTTACGTGGTTTATTAAAGTGCTACTGGGGACGGGGAGGGAAGGTCCAGGGCGAAGGGTGGAGGTTTCAGTTTTAGAGTGCTCAGGGTAGACATCCCGGAGAACTGACGTGTGAGCAGAGACTTGGAGGAGGTGAGGGAGTGAGCCAGGCTCTCTGGAAGAATGTTCTGGAAAGGGACCAGCCTGTGCAGAGGCCCTGAGGAGCAGCACGGAGGCGAGTGTGGCTGTGGCTGAGGAAGGGGAGAGGAGAGTCACACCAGGACCTGTAAGCAGCTTTAAGACCGGGTTTCGACTAGGTGAAATGGGAGTGGGGGGGGCATGGTGCAGAGAAGGGACGTGTCTGAGCTAACTTTTTCCAGGATCGCCGACGGCGGTGAGGAGAAGGGACTGCAGCCGCGTGGACTGTGGGCTGTGGAGGGAGGTCAGTTAGGAAGCGTTTGAGGTAGTCTAGGCCAGGGACAGTGGTGGGTCCTCGCTGGATGGTCACATAGGGCCACTGGAAGTGGTCAGATTCTGCCTGTAATGTGAGGTAAGGCCAGGAAGTTTTCCTTACAGATTGAGGTGAGCTGTCAGAGAAAGAAAACAATTAAGAATGACTGGAGTGTTCGGCTTGAACAACAGGAAGGCCAGGAGGGCTGCAGGGAGGGCTGTTTAGGCACAGGGGGCGGTCCGGGGCTCAGTGTTAGGCACACAGAGTTGGAGGTGCCTACCTGACACCCCAGTGGAGATGTTGAGTGGCCGTGGCTGTGTGAGCCTGGGGGTCGGCAGGCAGGTGAGGGCAGGAGCCTGTGAGACAGTGAGCCGGTGGAGGCAGCCTCAGGGCCTCCAGCAGGTCGAGGCTGGCTTTTCAGCACCCTTGTCACCTCCATCCTTATTTCAGGAAACACTTAAGGCACAGCTGAAGTGAACGTCCAATAACTCTAAGATAAGGTGTTGACCATGGAGAAATGATAAGAGGTGGGTAGGGGTGGTTACTAAATTAAGCCGTAAAGAACTTTAGAAAGTGTAGGAGCCAAATGTCCCAGGCAGGGTGGTCAGACCTTGTGTCTGGCGTGAGCGAGGGTGATCTTGGGCACTCGCTTTCGGAAGAGCCTCCGGAAGCTCCACGGTGGCTCTGAGTCACCTCGTGGTCCCACCGGGTCAGGTGTTGGAGAGGGAAGCACAGGGTCTCTGGGAGGACACAGTGGATGGATAGTGTGAGCACGTGCAGCGGAACCCAGAAGTGACCCATCTCCTGCGGTTCCTGGAGCCCAACTGTCGCCTGCCTGCTGGGCCAGCGGTCTCCGGGGAGAGCCTGCCGTTCATTTCCTGCCATCTGATCGTAGTGTCCTCTGCTCTGGTTGAAGTCAGAGCCTCCACAGAACAGGAATCTCAGTGACAGAACCTTGGCCTATCACCAGGGGGCGCAGCCCCACCAGCGCCTCTGGTCACTTACAGTACCTTAGGAATGAACTTGTAGGTCAAGTTCTTCCTGTGATTTTGTCCCCCTTCCTCTGCTATGCTCATTTTACAGAACTTAGAAGAGAGTATAAGTAAGGAAAGGAGAATCAATCACCCATATTCTTAGAACCAGTTTTTTAAACTTCAACATACTACTTTTTTCCAGTTTACACACAATTGTGATTTTTTTAAAATTTAAATTGGGGTCCTACGGAATATATGTAAATTTATGAACTTTTCTGCATAATCACTGTCTTCAAAAACCAGACCTGAGAGACCTGATCCCCAGGTGGCAGTGGGGGTATGGATGACGTTCCCGCATTGGTGCCAGCACGCTCTGCTCTGCTGTAATGTGGTCATTGGTACCACGTTGCAAGAACCAGAAAACTTGAGGATCTGGGGGGCCGTCTCTGACGCTTTACTTCAGCTTTGGTTCAGGGGAGGCCTCTGCATGTGATTGTTCCCACCCCGTCTCAGTCCTGCCAAGGGTGGAAGCCCACTTCCCTTTCTCTTCACCTCCCCACAGGAGGGGCTTCCTTCTTGAGCACCTGAATTTTAGCCCCAGACCTCTGCCCCTCCCAGGTCGCTGTTCTTTCTAACTCGTCCCTGTCTTGTCAAGAGCTCAGGGTTCTGTGTTCTGTGCTCCGCGTCAGAGCCGTTGGCCTCACCTTCCTCTGCTGGCCAGTGCTGCCTGGGCCTCGCTTCATCGGAGGCCCTTTAGAAAGAAGTGGCCCCTGAGCTTCCAGTCTCCCCCGGAAAGGGGCGCTGACAGTGGTCCCTGCCATGGGCTGATCGCTTTCCTTATGCCGTTGGTGTTGTGCTTTATTTCGGCTTTTGCTCAAAGGATGACTCTGGAGCCGAGAAGGAGAACACCTCTGTCCTGCAGCAGAACTCCTCCTTGACGGGGAGCCGGAACGGGGAGGAGAGCCTCATCGATAACCCCTACCTGCGCCCCGTGAAGAAACCCAAGATCCGCAGGAAGAAGTGAGTTGGGAGCTGGGTGCCGAGAGGCGCTCTGGCCAACCGCGGCACAAGGGAGAGGCCACTCTTCGTTTTCAGAAAAGTGGGCCTGAACCTCGGGGAAAGCTACTCGAGTGAGAGGAAATACCGTCCCTTTCCCTCTCCTTCCTCGTCTGCCACATGTACCTCTTGGGCAAAGAGGTTGAGCTTCCTGCAGCCCCGGGACTAACCCTCACAGCCCTGGAGTTATTGCCTCCTAGAAGGAGAGCAGGGGGGCCCACCAGGCAGGCTCCATGGATTCCTCTTCTTTCCAGGTCCCTCTCGTGAGCTGAGAAGAAAGCCTGCCTTGTACAGAGATGCGGACTCCACGCTCCTGGGGGGAGTTAAAGCCGCTGGAGGGAAGCAGAAAGGGTGGCCTCCCGTGGTCCAGCGAGGCGGCTGGGGTGACTGGGCATGCTTTTAACAGCAAACTGTGTTAATATTTCCCATTTTCACCGATGTCTGGGTTGAGGAAGATATGATGTGGTGGTAATAACGAGGCTTTCTTAATTGGCCAGGCTGGACTCTGGGCGTAGGAGCAGCTGGCGACTTCATTCATTATCACAGGACCTGACTCCTTGGAACCCGTGAGACCAGGGAAGGCCGCAGGAAGAAGGGGCTGCACCTTCTCTGCTTCCTCCAGAGGACTGTTTGCCTGGCTTCCGTTTCAGGCCGTGCGGGTCCCTTTATTGACTCACAGACAACCTGTAGCACCAGTTTCTCACCCTTGAACCTCAGTCTTATTTCTCTTCTCACCTGGGCTCCAAGCGCCCTGCTGAGATGACGAAGGTGACTTTGCCTTCCCACGTGTCACTCCTTGACCTGGGCCGCAGGAGTCAGGAGGAGTGAGCCGGTGTGTCAGGTGGAGGAGGGTGATGCGTAACAGCGCACCGACTCTCTCCACATCTGGTGGACTCTTCCTACAAGGCAGCGCCCGCTCGTGAGAGGTTGGTGTTTGTTGTCGCTCTGTGGCATGTGTGCTTTGGGACGACTGAGTCCTGCCCCATCCAGGGAATGTTTTCTCTGACAAGAGCCTCTGCTTGATGTATTATGCTGTGACTTGCTGGAGGAATCCGGCCTTAAACAACAGGAAAGGGATGGGGGGGGGGGGGGGACGGGTTGGCCTTGTTTGCTGAGAGCGGAGAGCCTCTTGGGTCTGCTGGAAGCCAGCACAGAAGGAAGCCATGTGGCGGAAGCCGGCGGGCCAGGCCAAGGAGTTCTTCCAGAAGCAGATCTGAATCTCTTCAACCTCTTTGCATCCTGGGGAAAGATTTCATCCTTCCTGAACCCTACAGATCAAAACACAGGTGTTTAAGGAAGATGGTGGGCAAGCTGACACCTTTGGCTGGTCTCTGACAGCAGAGATTGAAAAACCGAGTCTAAGAAGAAAAGTGCCAGTGAACCTGGAAGTTTACACAGCAGCAGTGAGGTGTCCCTGGAATTGTATTGAACTCTTCTCATACTTGGCTTCCACAGTCATCTCTCTCTTTTTTTTGTCTTCTTTTTTTAATTATTTTTTTATTTAAAATTTTTGTATTGATTTTCTTTTTTTAGGGAGAGGTAGATATGGAAACATTGAGGAGAGACATTAATTGGCTGCCTCCTGTATGCCCCCTACTGGGGAACTGATCCTGCAATCCCAGCATGTACCCTGACCTAGAATCGAACCAGCGACCTCTTGGTGCATGGGTCAACTCTCAACTGGGCAGGCCCACAGTCATCTCTTAACCTCCATGAGTCCAATTCAAAAACCTGGTGACTTGGCAGCAGGCTCCCCGTGCGTCCGGCCTCACTGTTCCCCAGGGCACCCTGTCCTGTCGCCCGGAAGGAAAGCTGCCTGTGAGGAACTGAAGGGGGATCCCAGTGAGAAGTGGACTCCCAGCTCTGGGCCAAGTAAGGTTTTTCAGGTTTGTGGGGAACTGACGTTCTTCCAGGAGAAGGCAGTTGGGTGGGCCTGTGCGGACCCTGGGAGTTTGTGATCGGCTGTTGGCGATCCTTGGCCTGTTGATTTTGACTCCAGTTCTGAGTGTGCATCATGGCCGAGGCAGGAGGAACCTCCCAGTGTGCTGTCTTCACGGCTCTTGGGAGCATTCGTCCCAGTCAGTGTTCCTGCAGTTCCTCTCTTGTTACCATGCAAAACTAGCGCCTAAGGTGGGATTTGGAAAGGAGTCGCCATTTCTGCTGCGGGGCTGTTCGAGGCTGCGCTGCTGTGATTCTGTTCTGGATGAGATGCTGGGAGATTGGACAAGCTGAGTTATTGTGTAAGAATTGTGCATGTTCTCAATGTATACTTACAAACTTCTATTTTTTATAATTTGGGGGGAATTCTTGGAGGGAATAAGTAGTAGAGAGAGCCAGATGAAGAGTGTGATTTGTGAGGTCTTAATAAAAGGTCATGAGGAAACCTTCATAATGAAACAATTTTATAAGCTTTGAACTTAATTTGTATTCAAAAGTTATAGCACTGAGTAAGGCTGTAAACAGACAAGTGAGGCTTAGCCCTTCTGTTGACTAGGTACCGCTGGGAACTGTCTAAAACTTGATTTTGAAAATTTTCAAACCCAAAATTAGAGAGGAAAGTTTACATATTTTCTCTGTTTAATTCTTCATCCAGCTTTAACACTTACCATTTTTTTTCTATTTGGTTTCATCTATTTCTCTCACTTTTTTTCCCTTTACTTTTTCCTGCCCAGAGTATTTTTAAAAACTCATCCAAGACCTATATCATTTAAACTGTAAATATGTCCTTATGCATCTCTGATAGACTTTTTAAATTTTTGAAATAATTATAAGAAACACAGGATGCTGTGGGGGGGGAAATTTCAGGGAGGTCATATATACCCTTCACCCAGTTCCCCCAGTGGTAGAATCTTATATAAATGCAATATTAAAACCAGGAAATCGACATTGGTACAACCCACAGAGTTTATTCAGATTTTACCATTTCCTCTGCATGGTTCTGTGCAGTTTGTCATGTGTAGATTCAGGCACCCCCCCCCAACCCCCCCCAGTCAAGGTACACATGTCCATCACCACACGGCTCCCTCAGGCTCTCTCTTTAGAAAATCACATCCACCTCCTTCCCCACCCTATGCCTGGCAACCACTGCTCTGTTCTCCACCTCTATAATTTTATTTTTAAATGTTATGTAAATGGAATAATAAAGTTTGTAATCTTTTAAAGTTGGCTTTTTTATTTGTTCAATTTTTATTAATTTCAGAGAAGGAGGGAGAGAAGGAGAAACATCAGTGATGAGAGAGAATCATTGATAATCTGCCTCCAACATGCAGCCCCACTGGGGATTGGACCCGCAACCTGGGCATGTGCCCTCATCGGGAATTGATCTCTGACCTCCTGGTTCATAGGTTGATGCTCAACCACTGAGATGCCCAGACAGGCGAGGTTGGCTGTTTTTACTCCACAGGAGTGGGAGCCTTCCGGGTTGTTGTGTATGTCAGTAGCTCCTTTTCGTTGCTGAGTAGTATTCCATGGTATGGATGTCCCACAGTCCGTTTAACCAGTCACACATTGAGGGTCGAGGCTGTTATAGTTGGGGGCTATCTACACTAATAAAAGACAAAGATGCTAATTGACCATACCTTCGTTATGCCCAAGCTGCCCACCAGCCAATCAGAGCGACTATATGCAAATTAACCCAACCAAGATGGCAGCCAGCAGTCACGGAGCTGGAGCGAGGAGGAGGCTTGGTTGCCCCGGCGATGGAGGAAGCAAAGCTTCCTGCCTGCTCTGGCCAGCTGTGGCCTCCGCAAAAGGCAGCAAAGTTTTAATTATAGAAGCTAAATAAATCCCAGATACCTGATTCCAGCCAGCCTCTACTGGGAGCTTGGATGGCTGGGGGCCGTGGCCAGCCTGCAAACAGCCATCAGCCCCTCACCCAGACTGGCCAGGCACCCCAGCAGGACCCCCAACCCTGAAGGGGGTGTGGCCAGCCTGAAAACGGCCCTCAGCCCCTCATCCAGGCTGGCCAGGCACCCCAGGGGGGACCCTCACCCTGAAGGGGCTGTAGCCAGCCTGCAACCAGCCATCAGCCCCTCACCCAGGCTGGCCAGGCACCCCAAGGGTGACCCCCCCTGAAGGGGCTGTAGCCAGCCTGCAAACAGCCATCAGCCCCTCACCCAGGCTGGCCAGGCACCCCAGCGGGGACCCCCACCCTGAAGGGGCTGTGGCCAGCATGCAAACAGCCATCAGCCACTCACCCAGGCTGGCCAGGCACCCCAGCAGGACCCCCACCCTGATCTGAGACACCCTTCAGGGCAAACCAGCCAACCCCCACCCATGCACCAGGCCTCTATCCTATATAATAATCCTATATAATAAAAGGGTAATATGCAACAGCAGAACAACTGGAAATGACTGGTCACTATGACACACACTGACCACCAGGGGGCAGATGCTCAATGTAGTAGCTGCCCCCTGGTGGTCAGTGCGCTCCCACAGGGGGAGCTCTGCTCAGCCATAAGCCAGGCTGATGGCTGCCAGTACAGCCGTGGTAGTGGGAGCCTCTCCCGCCTCCTCAGCAGCGCTAAGGATGTCTGACTGCAGCTAGGCCTGGTCCCCGCTGACAAGTGGACATCCCCCGAGGGCTCCTGGGCTGCCAGAGGAATATCTGACTGCCAGCTAGGCCCAATCCCCCGGGGAGTGGGCCTAAGCCAGCAGGTGGTCATTCCCCGAGGGTCCCAGACTGCGAGAGGGCACAGGCCAGGCTGAGGGACCCTCCCGAGTGCACAAATTTTTGTGCACCGGGCCTCTAGTTATATATAAAGACTAATACTAATTGAGACCTGTTGCCAGCCACGGGTCTAAGTGTCTTACACTTATTGACTGATTTATTCCTCACAGTTACCTCACAAGTAGATGTTCTTACTGTCCCCGTCGTAGCTGAAGACACGGAGGCCCCAGGAGGTCAGTGACTGACCTCAGTTTGCTCAGCTGCTGAGTAGCGGCTGCAGTCCACCCCCCTGGCATCCTGCTCCGCAGCCATGCTGCCCACCTTCCACACTGTGACCTCATGGCCGTGCGCGCTGCTGTTCCTCTGGAGCAGGGGTCCTCAAACTTTTTAAACAGGGGGCCAGTTCACTGTCCCTCAGACCGTTGGAGGGCCGGACTATAGTTTAAAAAAAAACTATGAACAAATTCCTATGCACACTGCACATATCTTATTTTGAAGTAAAAAAACGAAACAGGAACAAATCCAATATTTGTATTTGCATGGGGCCCGCGGGCCGTAGTTTGAGGACCCCTGCTCTGGAGCATTGAGCACTCCACCCAGGTGACCCCACCGCACACCCACACCCCCCTTGGCCTGCGGGTGTGAGGAGAAGGGAATTAGATAGAAATGAAACTACTTAGGGAGCTTGATGGGGAAGCTGGTAATCGCTGCTCTTACTCATTCCTTGATTAGGTAGATAGGGGACCAACATTTTTATGAAGACTTTTGATCAGTTGATGAATAATGGATCTGTAACCGATTATTAAAGAGCCTGGGATTTCCCTGTGCATAGAGTGAGGATCTTGTCAAGGGAAATGCCAGTGGTCTCTCTCACCCTGGGACCCCTGGCAGAGTTGGGCTGGAACAACTTTTGATCTGATCTGAGGTATTTCTACCGGATTAAGTGGTCGGTTCCTATATGAGTTAGGCCAGTGGTCGGCAAACCGTGGCTCGTGAGCCACATGCGGCTCTTTGGCACCTTGAGTGTGGCTCTTCCACAAAATACCACGTGTGGGCGCACACGAACAGTGCGAAGTTGACTTAAAACTTCAAGTAAAGTTTATTAAGTTAATTTTAGGGAACGTTGTGGAGTGAAAGAAGATGTAGTGTCGAGGATTGAGAAAGGTATGTTGAGATGGTTTGGACATATAGAGAGGATGAACGAAAGGAGATAGACGAAACAAGTATACAAGACGAGTGTGGATGGGAGAGTTGGAAGGGGTCGATGTCGATCTCAGCGAACGTACCTCTATCAGATTGAGGACGTTTTTAGCAAAGGCCAGCTTAGGAGTACCCTAATTAAGTTAATAACAATGTACCTACCTATATAGTTTAAGTTTAAAAAATTTGGCTCTCAAAAGAAATTTCAATCGTTGTACTGTTGATATTTGGCTCTGTTGACTAATGAGTTTGCCGACCACTGAGTTAGGCTGTTCTAACAAAAAGTCCTCAAGATATAGTGGCTTAAGACAGGAACATATGCTTTCTATGAAAGTCTAGGTCGGTGGTCCAGGCTGGCTTGGTGGCCTCTGCCTCTGGTTCCTCCAGGACCTTGGGTAATGCTTATGTCCGTCTCCTGGGTCCACATCCCAGCGGGGAAGAGGGGGAGAGAGGTGCACAAAGGAGACCTGAAGACCGCATGGCCCCACCAGGCTGCAAGGCAAGGGAATGTGGGATCTGCGGTGGTTCTGAGTCCAGGTAAAAATTGGGAGCCTTGTCGCCACGGAAGGAAGGAAAGACTGGATTTGGAGGACAACTGGCAATCCTTGTCACAATGAGGATTAGGACATATGCCCAGGAATGCCAGGTGGGCCAGGAGCAAGCCTTCTCTAACACGGACCCACCTAACCTGGCTCTCCAAGGGCCCTGGAGGCCGGCAGTCAGCGCGCTTCTGGGATGGGGCCTCTGGAGTCCAGCCGACTCTCACCTTCGGCCTGGGCTGTTGGCTGCCACCTTCCTTCTGTGAAGTTGTTCCTTGGGCTTGCTTGACATTGCCCTCCTGTCTTTGTTATTCTGCCTCTTGGCCTTCCTTTTCTTTGCTGGCTTGTCTTCCCCAATCTACCCCGCTGTGTTTGGTCCCAGACACTCCTCTGCTATCCAAGGCGATGGTTCATCGCTCCTCCACTTTCAGCTGTTCCCCCGACCCTTCCCCCCTCGGGAGTCCTCAGTGTCCATCTGTCTGTCACTTGCTGTCCCCTGAGCCAGCTGGTTATATTTTCTATGCATCATGGTCAGAGTGGATTTGATTCATGCTTCCCCCAAACCACTTCCGCTCCCAGCTTTCCCACTGCAGCCGGAAGCTGGAAACAGTGAGGCCAGTTGCAGTGGCCCTGGGGGAGGTACTCCTTGTGGGCCAGGACTCAGGTTGTACAGCCTTTCTCATCCGGTCTCGGGGTTGAACACTGGAGGCTTCATTCTGCTTCTGCACCACATTCTGCCACCTCTCCATGCTGGTCTGATGCTGCAGCCTGTGTCCCCTGCCGGCCCAACCTGCCAGCCCGGCTTGGTCATTTCCCTTTCTGCAGCAGGGCTTGCGTGCCGTTCTACCCTATTGCTCTTCATTCCAGGTCCAAACCGCCCAACCTGGCTTTCGAGATCCTCTGCCAATTCATTGTTTCTTTTGGATAACTCATATTCCTCCCATCTGTTCAACAATCACGGATCTAGCGCCTTCTGTGCATGCCAGGTACTGTGCTAGGCGCTAAGGATACCACAGGGAACAAGGCGGGGACGTGGCCCCTGCCCCCAGGGGGTTCATTCCAGTGGGGAGACATACAATGAAAACAAAGCCCAAAGCCTTGCAGATGGTGGAGAAGTGCTAAGAAGGACAGAAATGGGTCTTTTGCCTTGAGGGGTGCTCTCACCACTGCTGCACCTGTGCCTTCCCCTGTGCCCTTCACCTAAAACCTTGGCCTCCTCCCAGCCGCCGTATCCTCCTCAGATTACAGCGCTCCTTCCCTTCCTCATTCACGCATTCAGCAAACAAGCACTGAGCTACTTTGTGCAGGCGCTGAGCCAGATGTTGTAATAAAGTCACCAGCTTCTCTGACCTATGGTCCAGGGGGAGACAGTTTCAAACAACAGGTGTGTGATGGCAGGTGCTGCATTGGGGTCCTGAAAGAAAGTGGGTAGTATGCTTTGGGTAATTGAGAAAGGTTTAGTAAAGCAATTACCTCCGAAGAAGTGGGCAAGGTATAGGCCAGGGGAACGCAAGGGGTGGTGTCGTACCTGGGTGAGTGACAGGGAGGGGCGGGAGCAGATACCAGAACCTGGAGAGAGGCCACAGTGACAGCCTGCCAGGACCTGAGGCCTTGGGTCCTGGAGGGGCCCGATAGCACACAGCAACCCTGCAGAGAGGGAGCCAGCCCAGGAATTAATACTCTGACCTCACCTCCCTCCCATCTTCTGGTATCCTGGCTGCTCTCTGCTGGAAGCCAGAGGGCACAGGCTAGAAGTCAGAGGGCACAGGCCTGCAGTACCTGGCCAGCCTCCCTGGGTAGCAGTAGGGTAGAGGAGGCAGAGAGTGTGTGGATCTGGAGGGGCAGATGCTGGAAGGAGCTGTTAATGTAAAAAACCACTGGAACCTGTAAAGAATTTTTGTGAGTTTATTTGAGCCAAACTGTCGACATATGTCAGGAAGCAGAACCTCAATGAATTGAGATAATGCTCCAGAGAATGGCGGGTTACATCTGTATTTATACGTTGCAATCAAAGGAAAAGAGATGTAGGTGGGTTACATGAAATGCATTGGTGATAGACTAGAGAGGCGGGAGAAAGCAAAGGTGGGGGGGACCCCTTGGGATTGGATAAACAGTAAAATGATAGACACATACTTAGGTGGGTGAAGAAACAATTAACATGACAATGAAGGAATTTGTGGTATCTGTCCTGGCGCCCAGCACATTAGGTTGTGCCCCAATGGGTCCAGAAAAGGGGAAGTTAGAAGTTACCCAGACATTTCAAGGGTGTGTTATTATAGATGCAAAAAGACAGACAGGCTCAGTTAAGGTAAAGGTTGACCTTGTCAGTGAAGATACCAGCCTAGGATGTAACTACCCACCATAACTGCTTTTAGTTAAAGTTTAATCTCAGACCATCCTTTGTGGTTACTTCAGGTCTCTGAGTTTGCAAGACTGCCATGCAGGCCTTCCCTGAGCTTGGGTTAGCATGTGGCCCCTTTCGTCCACAGAGCTAAGTGCCAAAGGCGTTGCTGTTTTAGAAAGGGTAGGGAGGGAAAGCTGTCTTTGAGCCGGGCCCTGAATGCATTGACCAGGTGCATGGAAAAGCATTCCAGGGAGAGGGAACAGCATGTGCACAAGCTCTGAAGCAGAAGCGTGTGTGCCCCTTGACAGCGAGGGGCCGAGTGCCTGGAGAGAGGTGGGAGAGGGGGCCAGATAGGAGCGGGGGCACATTGTGCGAAGCCTCCTGGGTCTGAGTAAGGCGATGGGGTGTTATTCAGAGTGAAGTGGGCAGCAGCGAGGTGACAGGAGTTGACTTAGCTTGCCAAAAGGTCATTCTGGCCCTGGCCAGGTGGCTCTGTTAGAGTATCATTTGGTACAGCCAAAGGTTGTGGGTTCGATTCCCAGTCGGGGCGCATATGGGAAGCAACTGATCGATGTTTCTCTCTCTCTTTAAAAATCAATAAAAACATCTCCTTGGGGAAATGAGAGGAAAAGAAAATCATTTTGGCTGCTGGGTAGTATCCTGGCTGGAGGGGCCATGGGAGACTATTTCTCTTCAGTTAGTTTCACATAACTTGGCATTTAGCAAGCATGATTAAACTGGGGGGACAGCCAGCCACCCCAGAACTAGGGAGAAGTTAGTCCTGGCCCCAAGAGAGCCAGGTAGTGACTGCTCCCCACAGACTGAGCTCCGTCCCAAGGGAGGAAACATGGTTCCTGATAAACCCTTCCCTGGGGCGTGGCCTTGTCGTCAGGGAGACAGGTAAACACAGGAACCTGTCCAACACCACGTACCAAGACTGGAACAACTGTGGTTGGACTTGAGGACTTGCGGGCAGAAGCCTGTGCTGAGATCCAAACAAGGAGGGGTCTGGAAAAAGTGAGTAAGGGATGGGGAGTGCCGAGACGGCCTGGGGGAAGGCAGGAGAGCAGGTGACCAGCCTGAGAGGACTCAGGTGCCTGCCTGCCCCAGGCCCCACCTGCCCCACAGAGCTCCTGAGGCTCCTGTGCCCTCCTGTGATGTCTTCCCTTTGAGGCTAGTTTGCTGCCCACCATAACCAGCCTTCTCCCTGGTAAAGCTGGCCGAGGTCCCCTCCGTGGCCTTGGCCCTCAGACCTTACCCTGGCTGGGCAGTTAGGTTTCAGAGCGTGGATTTCCCTGGGAAAGGGGTCATCTGAACTGGGGGGCCTTCCCAGCAAGGCCCCTGGGGGCCAGGGTTGGAGGGGCTCTGCTCCAGCTGCTTTACCCAGGTGAGTTCCCGATGGTCTGAGCAGCTTTTAACCAGAAGAGCCGGGGTTCTGAGGCACTGAGAGGCACTCTGTGTGGTGGGTACAAGAGGCATGACCCAAGGTCATCAGTGTTTGCTATCATGAAAGAGCCAAATTCCAGTCCTAGCCGGTTTGGTTCAGTGGCTAGAGCGTCAGCCTACGGACTGGAGGGTCCCGGGTTCGATTCCGGTCAAGGGCATGTACCCTGGTTGCAGGTTTCCCGGCCCTGGTCGGGGTGTGTGCAGGAGGCAACTAATCGATGTGTCTCTCTCATATTGATGTTTCTCTCTGTCTCTCCTTCTCCCTTCCACCCTCTCTAAAAATCAATGGAAAAATATCCTCGGGTGAGGATTAACTAAAAAAAAAAAAAAAAAAAAAAAAAAGCCACATTCCACTCCTGTTTCTTTTGGACTTGGTTATGCGCTCATTATGAATTTTCTTCGACCACTGATGATGGGTTTATCCTTCTGTTTTACTCAGGCTGACACTGAAACACCTGTTTAATTCTCTGAAGGTCGAGTGACAGTGCCCGGTGCAAGTGGGGGCAGCTGCCCTGAGGACACTCTCACTCCTGGAAACAAATTCAAGGTCTTTTCCTCCTGGAGCGGTGGCTTACCCATCGTCTCCATCTTATAACAGGCTTTCCTTTTCCTCTTTACTAAAAAGTTATTTTATTTTGAATAGATAATACATGTACACAGTATAAAGTTTAAAGGAGGAAAAGGTATGTGATAGCAGCATCTCCCTCCTCCTGCTTCCCAGACTCCCAGTTCTCGCCCCAGAGGCTCCCGGGGTGCTGGTATCGGTATGGTTTTTGTATTCTTCTTGAAATAGTCTATACATCAAATGCAAATGCTTGTATATACGTTCTCCCCTTTTTACACCACTTTCCAGTGTAACTTTCGGCGATGGTTCCATGTCAATAATAAAACATCTCGGTTCTGTTTCTCGGCTGCACAGTGTCCCATTGTCTGGTCTCCCTTCACTTGCTCACCCAGCTCCCAGCTGATGGGAGGAGCAGCTTGTGCGTGCGTCCTTGGCTGCACGTGCCTGCTGAGCGCAGACAGACGCCGCCCAGTTCTCCTCACAAGACCATCGGTTTGCACTCTCACCTCAGTGCCTGTTTCCACCGCAGGGTCACAAAACATGGTGACCTTTGTAACGAGTGAGTGTGTGTGTGTGTGTGTGTGTGTGTGTGTGTGTGTGTGTGTGTGTATCGGCTGGCGTTGGGGACGTAACCACCACTGGTGTGAGGATGCCCCGCAGAAGGGCACCTGCGTGCCGGTGCCATCACAGAGGGAGGGGCACAGCTCCTTCCAGGCCGGGACTTCGGGAGGAGCCTGGAGCTGGTGACCTTTGAGCTGGCCCCGGAGGCTGAGCAAGTCAGGCAGAGGAGGGAGGGACATTCCAGGCAGAGAGCAGACCACAGCACGAGGGAGCACAGGCCAAGCGACGGAACGCAGGCTGACGACGGGCCCTGAGGAGTGTGCGTTTTGATCCTATCAGGGTCAAGGTGCCGTTGAGAAGCCAAGTGGTCTGCTTTGCTTGATGTCCAAGACGTATTCGGGAACAAAATCATTTACCGAGCGTTGCTGCAGGCCCAAGAGCTTCACATATTGCTAATCCTCACAGGAACCTGATGAGGTGGCGCACTTATCCCCACTTACACGAGTACCATCTCATTTATTAATAGCACTGGTATTTTTACGGCTTGACAGAGAGGAAACAGAAACAGAGGGGTTAGGGATTTGCGTGAGGTCCCCAATCTACTAACGGGTGACCAGCTGGGCTCCCAGCCCCGCCCTCTCCCGTGCAGTGCGGAGCCCCTGCCGCCAGAGGGCGCAGGTGTGCTCATTCTCGGATGGGTGGGACCCACGGACCCAGCCTTCACAGGTCGCCAAGGCCCCTTCCAGCCCGCAGCCTGCGATACCGGTTTCTGAGGTGTCTTCCAGAGATCTCTGCACACCGAGCAGAGACAGACAACATATGCTGCATGCCTGCGATGCATTTCTTTCCCCCACTTAATATCTCCAGGGGCTCATCCATGTTGGTCCATGAAGAGCTTCCTCATCTGTTTTTGTGGCCGCCGCGTGTTCCCCGCTGTGTCTGTTCTCATTTATCACCACTTCTCTATTTGGAGAATTTCCAACACACAGTGCTACCATGACATGATGCCATTTTGCTGGTATATCTGTAGGCCAGCTTTCTTGAAATGGAATTCCTAGCCCACGGCATACAGTTTGCATTTGCTAGCTATTGCCAAATGCCCCCGGGGGCCGCGCCGGGTCAGCTTCCCTCCAGGGAAAGGGCCTGTGCCCCGGGCACACAGTGCCAATCTGATGGGTGGAAAGTGGCATTTTAGAAGAGCAGAGCGCGCGTCTGTGCTCCTGTGATTATGACGGAGGTGAGCGCTCCGTGGCGTGGCTGAGGACCCAGCATCCCCCGCCCCGCACCTGGAAGGCGGCTTCCTCCCTGTCCCCAAGGTGCCGGGGGCACCGCCCACCCTTGCAGTTCAGGAATCAGCTGGTGTGTGCGAACAGGTGCGAAGTGGCCACTCCTCCTGACACTGCCTTCTCCAGGGGCGGACTGGCTGCGGAAAGCTGCTCCCCCACCCGCGTTACCCCCCTGCAGTGCCAGGATCATCTTCCTTTGAAAACCCCAAGAATCAGCAGAGCAGTTCTCCTCCCTGCCTCCCCGAGGATGTGTCCTCAGTCCAGATACATCCTGGGGAGTTGATAGGCTGTGTCCTAGCTCCCAAGTGCTCCCCAGGCGGCCAGGCTCCAGTAGAACAGAAGTCAGAAGAGACAGACATGTAAGCGCACCCGGGTCTTGTAGGCCTTCCGAGCCCTGTTGCTGCAGGGCGCTGTCCCCACTCGTGTTGGAGACGGGGAACCCGGTCCCGGCCCTGTCCTGATGGCCCATGAGACAGGGCCAGCTGCAAACCCCTGGAAGGTCATTCAGCCAACCCAGAGGACAGGCCCTGCGTGCCCTCTGAAACACTGTCCCTGCTGGTGAGGCCTCACTGCACAGCCTGAATGCGCCAGATCCCGCGGCCTCTCCTGGAGTCGCCCTCTGCATCACAGATGCTCTGGGAAACCTGGGGTCTTGTCAGGGAGCGTGTCCCCAGCTTTACAGGGAGACCTACGTCCCCCCTGCTTCCTGGGAGCTCCCAGGAGCCCTGTCCCCAGTCGACTCTCCCGGCCACCACCAGGCCACCCAGCTGGCGGGTCAGACCCGCTCCCACCCACCACCCAGCTCTGCTCTCCCCTCCCAGGCCTCGGCCCCTCCAAATAATTTATATGATTAATAAAAACAACACTAGTGTATATGTATACTTACTATGTGCCAGGTACGATTATAAATGTTTTACTTATATTAATTCATTATAAATGGACACAATACGAAATTCAAAAAGTGCAGTCTTCCTCCTCATGCCGTGTCTTCGGCCACCCATGGCCACCCAGAAGCTTCCACTCCTACTGGCTCCTGCGTGTCCCCCAAGCGATCCAGTGAATAAATACACAGCACTCAGGTATGTGTCCTTTCATCGCTGTTACCCAGGCGGCGGCATACAAAACGCCATGTTCTGCATCTTCAGGTTTTTTGGTTACTTTTCCCAGGTTTGCTTTTCACTCCTGCGAGAGAGATTCGTAGGCCCCGTCCCGCTCTAGATGCTGAGGGCTGTGATAGGTGTGTGTGTGGGGGGGGGGGGGGGGGGGAGACAGTCTGTAGGCATCCCCTGCCCTGCCCTGCACTTGACTGACTGCAAGTGACTGAAGGGCTGCTGAGGTTGTGAAAGAGGGAAAGAGGGAGCCTCCAGGGCCATCAGGTTTCTCTCTTCTCACAACTCGTGTAACTTCTTGGTCCTCCAGTCCCTCACCTGTTAAATGGGGTAACACTCGTTCTTCAAGGTTTGTGAAGTTGGAGGGTTGCCTTCCGAACCCGCTCCCCACCCCCATGCTCCAGTATCTCTGACCACCTTCACCAAAGCCTACTCCCAGGGGTCACTGCATCGGGACAGCACGAGGCCAACAGCGTCCCATGTGGTCACCTGCTCCGTTGGACACCAGGCCTCAACCTAGATCTCAGGGCGTCTGAGCCTGACACTTTGGGCTGGATTTGTGTGCGTGGCTGCCTAGTGCACTGTAGGACACTTCGTAGCATCCCTGATCCCCATCTCCTATACACTCTTAGGATCCCCCCAGGCCTGACAACCAAAAGCCTCCAGACATTGCCAAAAATCCACTGAGGAGCCAAATTCTTCCAGGTAAGAACCACTGAACTGAACTTGAGCAGCAGGGCTCCGGGTGCAGGCACCGCGAGAGGCTGATGGGAAAGACTGAGGGCAGCACAGTTTTCCTCCTTGAATCAGACTATATCTTAAGCTGTTTCCTTTGTTTAATCCCTCCTGTGGCTCGACCACAGGAATGTTCCGGAAGGGTATTGTATAATGCGTAATGCTTACTTCAGAGCTCCGGAGTCTGATGGGAGTCCTGGCTCTGACACCTGCCAGCTCTGTGACCTTGGGCAAGTTATGCAGCCCTTCCGTTCCTCCATGCTCATCCATAAACAGGGTAACAACATGCCTGCCTCCTGGGCTGTGGCAGCATTACATGGAATAACGTGCGTAAGCGCTTAGCACGGTGCGGGACAGACAAGCCGCTGCGGGACGGATTCCCCAGGAGACGGAGATCTGTGTGCGGGACATTCATGGGGGATGCGGTCAGGATGCACACCGTGGGGGAAGGGAAGCCCCCTTCCTGGGGGTGGGGCAGGGGGAGGCCCGCGGGGCTGCCTGCACTGGCAACAGAGGCCGCGGGTAGCCCTGGGGCTAAGGTGACCCTTCAGAGTGGTGCTGAGGGTGGAAGGACCTGTCTGAGAATACGCTGCCCCAGGGAGTGGGCATGGCCTTGCGTGGGGAGGCTCTCAGGTGGAAAGGACAGTCCTCTCCCGCTGGCTGCTGGGGGAGCGAGAGAGAGCGTCAGTCCTGGAGAGGGAGGCGGTCATGGCCGCGCACAGCATCGGAGCAGGATGCTTGTTGGCCGGCATTGCGAGGCCAGGGCTAAGTAGCAGTGACAGTGCTTTTGAAACACCGTAGACACCCGGGAATGCTCCCGGCCTCCCCGTGCCCAGGCCCCTGTCCCAGACCCGCACAGGCCACGCCCGCCCTCTCCTTACCGCCCTCCCTGGAACCAGGACGGGCAGGCAGAGCGAGAGGCGCTGCCACCCCCACCCCGCCAGACACGCTGCCCCGGAGGCAGAGGGCAGGGCAGCCGCGCAGTCGCGCAGTCGGGCTCCTCGCCCCGCTCCAGCTGAGGCCTCCGCCAGATCACTCGGCCCGTCCCACTTTCGTTTCTTCCCGGGTAAGCTGGGAGCGGGTGGGGCAGGGTGGGGCAGGGTGGGGCCAAACGGGATGCTGCGCGCAGCACTTCTCACAGTGTGGTCCCTGGGCCATCAGGACTGGCAGCCCCGCCTGGGGACTGGTTAGAAACCTGGGTTCTTGGGCCCGCCCCAAACCCACTGACTCCGGGGCTCGGGCCAAGTCCCAGGCATCGTGTTTGACAGGTCCTCCAGAGCTCAGCGTTGAGAATCACTGGTGTACCGGACAGCGCTTGGCTCCGTGTCTGGACCACAGGAGGGGCAGCGTCAACCTCCGCTGGATGGGAATGGGACCCTGAACCCGAAGTCCACCTGCTGAGCTGGAGGTCAGGCACCTGCGAGCAGAGCGCCACCTGCTGGTTATAGCCCCACCGCGCAGGCACGCGCAAGGCTCAGGCAGGGACGCAGGGACGCAGGGACCCAGGACAAGTTACACACGGCAGACGTGACCTTTGCCCTCAAGGAACTTAAATAATGCTCAACAATCTTTGAATAAATACTAACATGTATTCATTCAACAAACACACGTTCAGTACCTCCTGTGCTAGGGGCAGCGCTAGATGCTGGGGATACTGCGATGAATAAGACAGGCAGTCCCTGTGCTGTGGAATTTACAAGCTGGGGGAGGGAGAAGGGGAGCAAGTACCCCAAGTGGAAAGGACCTGGGGGGTGTGGGAGCCTTTGACAGGAGCTGATGTGGCGGAGGCGGGGAGGAAGGTCTGAACCTGAAGACTGGGGGGGAGGAGGGGGAGCGGAGGGGCAGTGGTGCAGAGGTGTGGGGGCGGGGGTGGGGTGGGGGCCTTCCTGCCGGATCTTTGATCTAAGCTGGGCCTTGAGGAGGCAGAAGTGTTTTGCGGGATGAGTCTTTGGGGGTAGTGGGGCCTCACAATTGTGTGAGAAGGAGCCAGGGGAAGGACAATGTCTCGGAGAGGCTGGATTTGAGTGGCTGGCCAGGCATCACGGGAATGTCCAGGGGGCACTCCCAAGGTAGGGCTGTGCTGCTGGGGTGCAGGTGCGGAGCGGGTGGGACTCAGTCTTCAGAAGAAGAAACTATAGAGAAGGAAGACAGAGACCGGAGACCGAGGACAGGTGCCCAGACCCCTGGGTGGAGAGGGGAGCGGCCTGGAAGGCAGAGGGGGTCAGAGAACAATTCTCCAGGAGCGGCAGGAGGCATGGCCAGAGACCTGGGCAGGGGCCCTGAGGAGCCTGTACATGTGGGAGCTTTCAGAATGCAGGGCCTTTGGTCCACCCCTTCCTCAGAACGGCACCTTCTCTCCCTTCCTGGCCCGCGGCCCAGCAGCGGGTCTGCAGCAGCCGGCCTTCCCTGGGGCTCTCAGCCTGGTGTCAGTGGCCACCCATCCCGGGCGGCTGCCATCGGCTGCCTAATGATGGGACGCCAGATCAGCTAGATTCGCTTTTGAGCTGCAGAGATGAAAGCGGCCACAGGCGGCTGGGGGCGGGGTGGGCAGGCAGGGGCAGGCCTGCTGGAGCCTGCAGGCCTCCTTCCCACAGGAGCTGGAGGCTCACCGGCAGTGAGAGGAAGCCTCTGCTTAAATAAGTGGGGCCGGGGAAAGCTGTGCTCCTGTCCTGAGGACAGGGCCCTTCGCGCATTGCTGACTGCAGGCCCCGGCTTCCCGCACAGCCTGCCCGCACCCACCCCTACCCCTGCTTTGGGCTGGGCTGGGCCACGCCCAGGGAGCAGTGAGGAGGCCCCAGAAACCAAGGTGTAGGCAACCTGATCCAGGTGGCACATCCTGCACCTACCACCCTCATTCACCTTTTCTATTGGCTTTACCCTCCTCCTCCTCTGAGCTGCATCCTCCCCCACCTCCACTGTGACAGGAAGGTATGAAATGTGGGGGGAGGGCTGGTGGGGAGAGGGGTGAATGGCAGAGAAAGGACCAGCTTCAAGGGAGGCGGCTGTGGCGAAGGATGCAGTGGAGTCAGGCGGACTCCTCTGCACAATTCACGTCTCGCCTCGGAGCCTTAATTTTCTCACCAGCAACATGGAATGAGGGGCGCCACAGGCCCAGCACGTTTTAGAGGATTGTCACGAACAAACGCGAGAATGAGTGACCTTTCCAAGCTGTGGAGGTATGTACTGGGGGTTACCACAGCCACCGTTGCATCAGTTTCAACGTGAGGCCCTGGATCCCAGTTTGGGGAGGCTCTGTCGAGTGCCTGAATTACGTGTGTGCCTGAATTACATGTAAAATGCCTGTGAGGGCATCTTTCTGGGTGGGAGCCATAGCTCTTAGAGAGGTCTGGACCCACACACAGGGTCTTTTGAGGTGAGTTAGCTGAGACCCAAGCTTCTATGGTTTGTCAGAGGCAGAGCCAGACCTGGGACCCTGGTCCCCCATTCTCCACTCCTCCCTGCTGCTCCTCCAGGTCAGGTGAGGGGAAGGGAGAGTTTGAGATTAGGGAGGGGAGAGCAGCCAGAGGGGGAGCCCCAAGTCCTCACGCTGTTACCAGGATACCAGGATAAGGACATCACAGCGGCGGGTGGGGGACAGTGGGACAGGAAAACAAGGAAGCCCTAGGATTTGGGGGACCCTGGGGGGGGCCAGGCCTAGGAAACGCTTCCTGGAAGTTGAGTCAATGAGGCATCTTCCCAGTTTCCCTTTCCCAACAAACCCCCCTTCCCAGAAAGGGCTCCGAGGAGGAGACAAACCCGGGCCCCGACGCCATCTCGAGGGGATTCTCTGGCTCCCGTTGCCACTTTTGGAAAAGCTGAAGATGCCACGTCGAAGCTTCATGGGAACGGAAAGGCCACACACAGGCGTGAAGTAGTCACCACCCAAAGATGCAATTTATTGAGCAGCTACCAAGAGCCAGGCATGTGCTGGATGCTTTGCCGACATCGGCATAAATGTCACCCCTTCAGGAGGCCTGACTGCCTGGTTAGACTAAATCCACTGCTCTCCCTCACCTTCCGGTTATCCTCACGTTCCCTGTTCCTTCCTGTGTGGTCCTTTCATCCCCTCTCCTCCACTCCGCTACAATCTTGCCATGGGCAGGAGTCACGTCAGTGTACTGACTGCTGTCCCTCCATGCTAAGCACAGTGCCAGCCCCTGGTGGTCACTCCAATACTTGTTAAATGAACTCAGGACTGTCTCCCGTCTTCACAACAGCCTTATGAGGTAGCTATCATGGTCATGCCTGGTGCACAGAAGGAACCACGGTGGAGAGAGCCAGAGACTTGCTGGAGGACAGCTGGTTATCGCCAGGCTTCAGCTTGGCTCCTCCCCCTGATGGATTTGGAGAACAAGAGAGCCGAAGGGTCAGAGAGAACGTTTGGGTCCAGTGGAATGGCTCACCCGTCAGTGCAGCCGCCACCCTGTGCTCAGCCTTCCCTCCCAGCTCTCCCAACCTCTCCTCTCGCCCTGTGAGCTCCGAGTCACCAACCTGCAGGAGGCCAGGCCCCACTGGCCTGTGCATTTCTCAAGCCACGCGAGAACCTGTCCTTCCCACCCACCCGGAGCAAGCTACAGCTGGGAGCCCACGCCCCACCCCTCAGCCCTCACACAGCAGATAAATTAGGGGACTCTTATAAAACATGTACAGGGAAGACACATACATACAGAGCCAGTGACAGTGCCGGGCGGCGTTCGCTTCTTGAACACAAGGTCCTGCCCATTAGGGTGCCTGCCCTCTCCTGCCCTCTCCCCCTGGAGTGGCTCACCTGCTGTCCCCATAAGCTGGCACCTCGAAGGTCACCACAAATCACAGAGGTCCACCATCCTTCCCCAAAAGGAACCGATTCCTTGCTGCCCACGCCAGGCTTGCACCTCTGCGGTGGGCCACTTCCTGCCCTCCCTCCTCACCAGGCAGCCTGCCTCGGCCTGGTCCCAAGAATCCGGCCCACCAAGGCAGGGAGGACAGACCGAGGATTGCTGCTTCCTGACGTGTTTGGCGACCACGTATCATCCACACCAGGACTTTAATGAGAGCGGAAGGGGGTCTGATTCACTGGAAACCAGGCACACACCAGGACTGCTCAGGTGAAGGATGCATGGCCGCCCTACCGAGGGGTCCCTGCTCTGGACCGGCCCAGCCCCACCGCTCTTGACTTTCCGAAACATGCCTGTTGGCACAGATCTCTCAGATCACATCTCCCCTCTCTGCCACCTCCCACTCTCCAACACCTCACAGCATTGTGGTGACACATTTTAAGGCCTCACTAATATCGGGGACCTGTAGCACCGGGGTTGGCAGGAGGAGCTGGGAACGATGCCCCCTCCAAACCCCTGGAAGGACTCGGCTAGGTAAGGCTTTTGGTGTTGAGCCCCCGGCCTTCTGGCTCCTGGAGCCCCATCTCCAAATCACGGCGCCCGGGTCCAAGTAGAAAAGTCAGCCTTCATTCTCTGTCTCCCAACCTGCACTTGCCAAGGCTTCTTCCTCTAGAGCTGAAGGCCAGGGCCAGAGAAAAATGAACCATCAATTCCCCGGGACCCTTCCCTCGGCCAGTCAGTGCAAAGCACTGCCTGGCACCTTCTCCACATGCTGTGTAGGCACATTCCCGGTCCCACCTCCTATGCTAGGAGCCCCAGGAATCAGCTCTGGGGGTGGCAACTGATGGAGGCTGGAGAGAGCAACCTGTGGTGCCCTCACCCCCACCCGCCAAGCCCTTCCTGGGGGCCTGACAGCAATCACAGCCACCCCAAGACCAGTTCCCCTTCAGGTTTAATGCCCCGCCCCTTGTTTTTAGAACCTGCTCAGTAGGCCGTGCTTGCAAAACTGCTTTAAACGAGCCTTACTCAGGCAGATAGTACCAGATAGCAGAA